CAGGTGTCCAGACAACGGCTTTTTCTCTTCAAGATCAAAGATCATACGATGCATCTGGTTATGTTTCATTTGTCTTTGTAAACCTTAGAACTGTCCCCACTCCACGTTTTGTTGTGTTCATGATGCTGACTCTTTATTTCTGGGGGCACCTTGGTGGCTCAGTCAGTTAAACGTCTGCCTCTGGCTCAGGTCAGGATCCCGGGGTTCTAGGATCAAGCCCTGCATCAGGCTCCCTGATCAGCGGGGAGCCTTCTCTGCCTCTCCTTCTGTTGCTCCCCCTGCTTATTCTCCCGCTGTCAAATAAATAAGTAAAATCATTTTTTTTAATTTTTTTTTTTTAACATAGGCTCCACACCCAACACAGGGCTTGAACTCACGACCCTGGGATCAAGAGTCACATCCTCTACACACTGAGCCAGACAGCCACCCCAGACATTGACTCTTTCTAGAGCCCGGCCAGCTGTCTCCAAGACTATGGCGTTCTGGGTTTGTCTATTTCCCCACGATTAAATTCAGGCTCAACATTTTTGACACAGAAGTAAAAGACAATACTGTATACATCTTACCATACCCATCCTATCAGGAGGCACACAAGGCTGGTTTAATACAGATGACGAAGCTGAACTTGACTGTGTGTGGAATCCAGGCACATCATCTCTTCCCGCCACATCCGTGTGTTCACTAACTGGGAAGCTACACTGAGCTTTCACGTCCAAACATTTACTGGGATTTCCTTCACTCCATTTGTAAAGGTACATTTTATCCTTTGTAAAGAGCAAAATATCTGAAAGGGTATGCTCCCCCCACTGATTTATTTATTTTTGGCGCATCTAAGTGGGTTAGTTTGGGGGATATTTTGAAACTATGTGACTATCTGTTCCCCAAAGGCATTTCACCCAATCCTTGCTTAAATCAATTATTACACGGGATTGAAAACAAGTGATTTTCTAATTCAATCATGGCTTCTGTATTACCTGAAAACCTTCTACAAAGACATTCTCCTGTACCTCCTCTTTGTTCAGTAGCACAACGACTGATTTTCTTTTAATTTGACACACATGGTCATTATATAATCACTGCACTCATCTTTGATGCCCAAAGTGTCCCAGTTTGGCCTGTGGGAAACTCTTTGAGCTGGTTCTTACGTCCTTTGGTCCTTTGGACATATCTCCTTCAGTCACTGAGGATCTATTTTCCCAACGAGATGTCCCAGGCCCATGTGACTCTCCTTTCCTCAACCCTGGAAGAAGTCATTTTTCCACGAAGTCCCGGTTCCTTTAAGTGAAGGAGGACATTTAGAAAACCAGATTCGAGCGCTCACTACCTTGGTTTCCAGGCCTGCGGCATAACAGAGCACACATCTGTTCTCTGTCCCCAGTTCCTGGCAGGGAGCTTCAGAAAACCTTGGCATTTTCTAAGTGCCAGAAGGGTCATTGTTATGCAAATGAGGTGACTGGACTGGGGGGGTTGTCCCTAAATAGCTTCAGGATGGGGGCTAGTCATCGGAAAGACCAACAGCTCGGTGCAACTTTGGGCCAGCTGGATCTGCAGGGCAAGAAACAGGAAGGGAGGTCAGCTGGAGAACGAGTTCAGTCCATGGCCAATGACCTACTCAGCCGGGCCTATGCAATGAGACCCCAGTAAGAGTTCCGGATGTGAAAGCTCAGCCCAGCTCCGTCAGTGAACACGGGGTGCGGCGGGAAGGGGCGATGTGCCTGGATTTACAGAAACTCTTGAGTCTCTTCCCCATCCCTCTGCTCTCGACCTTGCTCTATGTGTCTTTTCCAGTGGTTGTTTCTAATTTGTATTCTTTAAAACTGTCATTGTGAGTGCTTTTGGTGAGTTCTGGGTCATTCCAGCAAGTTACCGAAATGGGGGATCACGAGACCCCCAAATTTATAACCAGTTGATCCGAAGTACCGGAGGCCCCCAACTGAGAGCTGCCAACGGAGTGGAAGCCGTCTGGTGCAAGACCATGACCTACGCCTGCAGAGTCTGAGGCTGACTCCAGGTGGTGTCGGAGTCAAACCCAACAGCAGGCCACTTGAACAGAACTGGGTGTTAGCTGGTGTCAGAGCATGAAGGGTTCTGGGGCACCTGGCTGGTGCAGTCGATTAAGCGTCCGACTCTAGGTTTTGGCTGTCGTGATCTCACTATCATGAGATCGAGCGAACCCATGGCAGCCCCGTGTCAGGCTCTACACCCAGCACTGAGTCTACTTGAGATTCTCTCCCTGTCCCTCTGCCCCTCCTGCTCATGCTCTCTCTTTCTCAAATAAACAAATATATCTTTAAGGGAAAAAAAAAAAGAATATGAAAGGTTCTTTCTGCAAACACAGCTACAAAATACTATTTACACACACACACTCAAATTATAAATGTGCAAATGTGCCATGACAATAAACACATTTTATTTTTAAAAATCGGACGTTCGGGTCAACTCCCAAATCAAATCCAACACCACATGAAAATCACATTAATACACGTGAATCCACCTTATCAATTTTTTTAAGTAGGCTCCATGCCCAGTGCGGAGCTCAACACAGGGCTCCAGCTCATGACCCCGAGATTAAGACCTGAGCTGAAAGCAGGAGTCGGATGCGTAACCAACTGAGCCACCCGGGCAGCCCCCGCCTCACTGCTTTCCACAGCTGCACAACAGTATCTCTACAGTGTGGATAATTCATGCTTTTCCAACCAAGACCTGGCAGTTGTTCGCTACCCATGCTTACAGCTAGCCTTGTGTGTTTGCGGTTTTGTACTTGTAAACCTGCATCTGCAAGGCAAATCACACATGTGGGCCTGCTGGATCGTGCGTAAATGCACGAGAATTTGGGAGACTACCAAAAGCCCCCCTGCACAGGTTACACCACTCCAGACTCCCACCACCAAGCTGCGCGTTCCTGTTCTCCCCGAGCCTCACCAGCTACGTGCACTGTCCAGTTTCTGAACATCTGCTGTTCTGGCAGGTGAGAAATCTAGGTCCGTGCGGTTTTAATGTGCATGTCCTTCGTTTTAGGTGAATCTGAGCATTTTTTCATATGCTTAAAGACTATCTGTGCAACTTTTTTAGAGACTTGCCTATTCGAGGGGGTTGGACAATTTTTTCCATGAGGTTTCAGGTCTTTTTTCTTTCAACTTCTAAGAGCAATTTGTAGAGTAGAAAAATTAACTCCTCCTTTATTATACAAAAGGCAAATATTTTCCCCTCTTTCTCACTTGTCTTTTGACTTGCAAAATCTTTTTTAAAAACCATTGGTAAATTCAATCTTTTACTGCTTTCTAGATTTTTAAATTTATTTTAAATTAACATGTAACGCATTATCTGTTTCGGGCGACAAGCCCGTGAGTCACCACTTACACGCTTCACAGTGCTCACCACAGCACAAACCTTCCCCAGTGTCCTTCACCGGCCACCCTATTGCTCATAGATTTTGAATCCTACAGAAAACCTTCCTCCAAGTTCATAATAAGGCATCTAAGTCAACTCTGTTATTTATGTATTTTTCAACACTGAGATCTCTGACCCAATGTAATTTATCCCAACACACATAAGAGGCAGAGCCAATTTTAAATTTTCACAAGTAGCTATCTAGTTGCCAGTATCATCTCTCTCAGAAGTGTGTTTTTCCCTCAGGGAAAAGAGATACCACCTTTTTATATACGAAATTCCCATATATTTTGAGGTCTATTCCTGAAATTTTACTCTATTGCGTGGATCTGTCTCAAAAGGAGCCAAAACAGTTTTAATTAGATACCTCATAGTAAGTTTTAATATCTAGAAGGACTGGTTTTTCTCCTTACTATACAAAGGCTTTCCTCGCCACTCTCACATGTTTATTTTTCCATATGAATCAATAAGGCTGGCTCCAGGAAAAAAAAAAAAAAAAGAAGTTATTGAAACTTAATTTTTTAATGGGATTTCATCAAATTTGTGTATAACGAGAAACGGCATCTTTAGAACAGAGTCACCATATCTACAAACAAGAGGTGTGACTATTCAAGGCATTTTTCTATCTTTCAGGAATATTTTCAGTTTTCATCAGAGATTTAGGACATTACTTTTCAGGATTATTTCTATATCCTTATTTACCTTTTATATAGCTGCTGGAGAGGGATTTTTCTCTTCCACCAGGGCTTCTAACTAGTTATTGTTTGGAAATATATTATTATATCCTGTCACTTTACTGATTTCTTTCATTTGAGGTTGTGTTAATTTTATCATTGACTTTCTGGGATTTTTCCAGGGTTTTACCTCTTTTGTTTCTAACACTTATGCACTTGCTCCATTTGTAGTAGGATATTCTCACTTCCCAAAATGTACATATAACTCGAGTCTACGTGATTTTCGGCTCTTGTGTGTATTACACTATTTCAATCTCAGATCACTGGAATCGGTGTCAAATCCTACCGCACCGTCCATTCTCACGCTCATCTCGTCACGACAATGACGAGCCAAACTAACATCCCCCGAACTCCTAGGGCCTCCACCTACGCTGATCGTAGCCCTGACAAACCAAGGTGCTGTCCCTAAACCCAACGCGGCTCAGTCTCTGGGACAGGGAGGCACGTAAGGGAGGTCCCCCTGGAATCCCAGAACGATCTCTTCGTGCTGCTCAACCGTGTCTCCAGCCACAGCACAGAATGAAGCCCCTGTAGCCATCTACCCTTTCCTCAGCTCCTGCCCTGGGAGCCAGGTGAGCGCCCAACTCTTGATCCAGGCTCAGCTCACACTCTCAGGGTCCTGAGATCAGCCCCGCGTCGGGCTCTGCCCGGGGCGTGGAGCCTGCTCGATGGCCTCTCTCTCCGCCCATTCTCTCGCCCTGGCCCCGCTCGCACTCTCTACTCTAAAAAACTTAAAATTTTTTTCAAAATTGTTAAAAGATGGCAAAGAAGTGTAACACTGTCAGGAAGAAGGCCAAGAAAGATGACTCAGATGGAGTCTGAGCCAGGTGGCAGCCAGCTGCAGGGTCCACGCCGCCTCTCCCAGGGTTACGCTACCTTTTCTCTCTTCACGCAGCTCACGACCCTGCCAAGGTCCTCAACATCAACGACAGGATTCAGATTCGGATGGTCTTTGGCACCGGACTCGTCCTCACTGGTGCTCTCAAAGGGCTCTTCCTCCTGGAACATCAACGCATCAGAAACACACTTTCAAAGTAGCAAAGCTCCCAAACTGTGAGTCCCCGGAGAGATAGGAGATGTATTAGGCCAGAGGTCAGCAAGCCAAGCCCCACAAGCCGAATGCAGCTAGCCTCAGGCCCAATCCAAGGGCTACTGTCACTTTACACATCATCTGTAGCTACTTTTACACATCACCGTGAGACGGCGGCAGGATTAACAGCTGCAACAGAAACCATCCGACCCATAAAGACAGAGTATCTACCAGCGAGCCCTTCACAGAAAAAGTTTCCTCATCTCTCTCTGAGACACAGAAGCAACCAGGCTTAGTGAGGAACTAAATGCAGGAATGAGGAAAAGGAAGGACTTAAGCATGGCTTTCAAGTTTCTTCTAGAAGTAACTGAGTTGGTGGTGCCGTTCACTGAAACGAGAAAGATGTGGGGAGAAACAGACCAGGAGTAGAAATGAAAAGCTCCATTTTGAATGTGTAAAATATGAGATGCCTCAGACATTCAAGCAGAGATTTTTAAAGAGGATGCACAGACGGGAACAAAATCAGGGCAAACCTCAGGGCTGGAAATACAAACCTGGGACTGGCCAGCACACAGACAGAACACAAGGCCACGAAACTGGATAAGCTCATCCAGGAAGAAAGTACCAACAAAGAACCGCGCACCAAGCCCTGAAACACTGCACCACGTAGAGGCTGGAAAAGGGAGGACGATCCCAAGTGAAAAAGAAAACAAAGCATGAGAATGGTATGGACAGTCAGGAGGAGAGTGATTCAAAGAAGTCAGTACCAAACACTGCTGAGAAGTCAAGTAAAATGAAGACACAGAAATATCCTCGGGGCCTGACAAAACCATGTCCTGGAGCCTAGGAAAGAGCAGCTGCTGTGGGGCAGAGAGCCAGTCTGGAGAGCCAGTCCGGAGTTGGGGGGTGTGACCTGGGACTTCTGCTCCCCGATGCCGGGTGGAGGGCACTGAACACCCCCACTCTGGAAAATAACACGGGGGCACCTGATGGCTCAGCTGGTTGGGCATCTGCCTTCGGCTCGGGTCATGGTCTGGAATCCTGGGATCGAGCCCCACATCAGGCTCCCTGCTTGGCGGGGAGTCTGCTTCTCCCTCTGCCTGCTATTCCAGAGCCTGTGCGCACTCTCTCTCTCTCTTCCACTCTTGTTCCATCTCAAATAAATAATTATTTTTTTTAAAAAAGAAAAGAACACTAAATAACAGAGTATTTTAATAACACAATTTTTTAAATGTGTCACTGAGTTGGCAAACATAGGATGAATTCAAAGAGGACAAATAAGAACTAAAAAGGGTAGAGGTAAGTAAGCCAGAGACGGAACGGAGAGTATCCGCCGGCCTCCAGAGAACCTGACAGCCAGACAGGACCAGCGAAAAGCAGGCAAAGTCGAGGAGATGATACGGGGAGGAGAGACTAACACAGAAGACCAAAGTCAAAGCTGGCACCCTACGAGGCTGCATTTCTCATATACAGATAAATTAGAAATAAATATTCTGAGCTGGAGGAGAAAGCAGAGAAGACAGGCAGAAAATTAGGGGGAAAAAAACAGAGCAAAGAAAAAATAAAAGGATTTTCCAAAGCTTCTGAAGTTTTTGGGAGGGGTAGAAGAGAATCTTATAATAAAACTTCAGAATCAAATTAAAATGAAGTTCCCAAAAGCAATACTCTGACTAAAAGACAGCTGATCAATGTGGTCAATTTTCTGGGGGAAAAAACGAAATTTACTCTGATCTAGAACCCTACTAAGTGAAGCATCAGTTTACTCCAAGTGCACAATAAAGAATGCAGACATGAAAATTCTGAAAATTTCCTTCCAAAACAACCCTCCTCACACCCTAGAGATTGTGCTCCAAAATGAGAGTCAACCAAGAAATAAGAAGACAAGATACCAGAACCAGGGACTCCAACCCAGGAAGCCAGTCAACGGAAGGACTTCATCCGTACAAGTCTTGGAGAAGAGCCATGCATCCAAAACCGTGGAGGAGAAAGGAATCGTGAGAACCCTCCAAGAAATCAATAAAAACCACAGGATACTGAAAAATAATTTTCAGTTCCACTAGAATTTTGGAATGAGTCAGTGACAATCATAGAGAGATCAAAGCAGATGCAGCCACTACCTAAGGGAAATAAGTGTACAGGAGCGAACACGGGACACCACAGAACACAGACGGGAGGAGCACGTGCGCAGTCAACAGATACGGTCTGGCCAGGAAGTGAGATCCAACCGCACAAAGAAAATGAGAAGAAGGGAAGTGATACCATGTGTGTGTCCATGTGAGACAGAGACTTTGAACTGCTTTAAAAATCAAGAAATAGCAAGAAGAGCCTACTATTTAGGAATACAGAGGTAAATATCTGATGAAAAAGCTAGAATTAAAAATGACTGCCCTGGGAAAGTAAGAATTAGAATAAGGCAAGAGAGTATAGTTTTTAATTATAAGCCTAGAAGCACTATTCTAGTGCTTTAAACGTACAAGTGTTTAAATGTACAAGTGTTACTTTTGATTAAAAAAATTTTTTTTATCTAAGTTTGTTTAAACGTTAAGACCCGAGGCTGGTATCAGCTAAAATGGCAGAGTAGGTAACTCCTCGGGGCTGTCCTCCCACAGAACAACCAAAAGTTAAGATTTAACTCTAATTCCCGGAGATCTGACAAAGGTTTACAAGAACCAAGTAAACACTGAATCGAGAAAAAGGAACCTTGTGGTGCCTGCGTGGCTCAGTCGGTTGAGCATCCCAACTCTTGATCTGGGCTCAGGTCATGATCTCAGGGTCCTGGGATCGAGTCTCGCAGCAGGCTCCGCACTCAGCAGGGAGTCTGTTTTAAATTCTCTCGCCCTCTCCCTCTGCCCCTCCCACTCCTCAAGCCCAGGCACACAGGCTTTCTCTCAAAAATGAACTAATAAATCTTAAAGAAAATTATCATATGAGCTCTCCGATATGAGGAATTTGAGAAGCAGGGCAGGAGGTTGTAGGGGGTAGGGAAGGAAAAAGTGAAACAAGATGGGATCGGAGGGAGACAAACCGTAAGACTCTCTAAATCTCACAAAGCAAACCGAAGGCTGCTGGCGGGTGGGGGGTAAGGATGGGGCGGCTGGGGGATGCGTATTGGGGAGGGTATGTGCTATAGTGAGTGCTGCGAAGTGTGTTAGCCTGATGACTCACAGACCTGTACCCCTGAAACAGGTAATACATATGTTAATAGAAATAAATAAATAAATCTATCTTTTTTAAAAAAAGGAAACTTAAAAACAACATCCAAGGAAATCTGCCACAACACTAGCTGAAAACAAACTGAAGAAACAGATTTCAGAAACCATGCACAATAGACAGTTTTCACCAAGTCACTAAACAAACAATTACAACCCAACAAACTACAAAAATAAACCCTGAGCAGGGGAAAGAATCTGATTTCCAGAGTTAACATATTACAATATTCAAAACTTGCAGCTTTCAACACAACCAGCACAAAGAAGGAATAAAAGTCTGGCCCACCCAAGGGAGAAATCGACCGAAACCTTCCCTGAGGAAACGCAGACTTCCCCAATAAAGACTTCAAGTCAATGGTCTTAAAAATGCTCCAAGGGGGCACCTGGGTGGCTCAGTGGGTTAAAGCCTCTGCCTTCAGCTCAGGTCATGATCCCAGAGTCCTGAGATCGAGCCCCGCATCGGGCTCTCTGCTCCTCGGGGAGCCTGCTTCCCCCTCTCTCTCCTCTGCCTACTTGTGATCTCTGTCTGTCAAATAAATGAATAAAATCTTTAAAAAAAAAAAAACAAAAAGACTAGCTAGAAAAGAGAACAGGATATACAAACAGCAGTGGACACATACAGAACGAAGGAAACATTTGTTTCTTATTTGCTTTTCCTGTTCCTCTGAACAGGATGATTCCAAGGCCATGTTCGTCAATCTACAGAACAATGTAATGGTGGGGAAGAGACAAACAAGAGACAGAAAGAGACCCAGAAAACACAGAGAAAAAGCCCTTTATCCCAGAGCACAGAGTGGCTTTGACAGGAATCGGTCGGGCCCACGGTGTCCTGCGGCACCAGAGACGGGGAGGGAAGCGTTACAGGAGATCTGGCAGCTTCCCGTGATAGCCGGAGGAACACGCAGGGAGAACAAGTACTGAACAGCCAGTCCCCTGGGAGAGCGAGAAGGGAACTTAAACAAGAGCGCTGGATGCTGCTGGGCAGGTCTGAGTGCACACATGGGCCTCAAACCGGGGTCAAGGAGCAAGCAGCAGGCAAAGAGGTGGGCAAGTGGCAGGTTTCAACCTGGTCTGGGGTTTGACCGGTCGGGTTAGTAGACTGGAAGGCAAGGCAACTGGAGATCGTTCGTCAAAGAATGAGCATAAAACCCAAACTGGGAAAGGACAGAAGCGGCATAAGCAGTTTTCATTATCCAATGAAAAAGCTATGAAACCAAAAGAATTTTAAAGTAGGACACGTGAGAGACCAGAGGCAAGGTCACGGGAACATGAAATTTCAGAGGTGACTGCGGAAGTGAGGGGCCAAGGTCAACGAAGACAATGGCTGCTGGAGGCGTGAAGGCCAGGCACCTGGCAGGCAGGACACTGCATCAGTCACCCACACGAACGGCTTTTCCCCAAAGGGGAATGACAGGAACAGGGTGCAGAGAAAGTGAGTCAGAAAGTAAGGTGCTTCCTGAATGACGCAAGTGAGCAGGTGACCAAAGGCAGACTGACAGCCGTGATGACAGCGGCAGTGGAACCATCCGGTGACATGAGCTTCCGAGGAACGAGGGTCCCTGAACAAGGACCGGAGACATGTTTCGAAAGTGAGGGACAAAAAGAGAGGAACCTAGGGTGACGGGCAGCCTTCCAGTCCGAGTGACTAACGCAGCCGTCCAGCGAGAGAGTCGGGAGGAAGACGTGCTTAGGGGATACGAGGTTGGGACACACAACCTCAGCCTCGGCAACGACAGAAGCCCCCTAGGCTGGCCGCACGACCGCTGCAGCAGAGAACCGGGAGGGCGCGGCGCGCACGCTGGCAGCCCTGGGAAGGCCCGCCTCTCGCACACGCCGCCCCAGAGCCGCATCTCCCTTCTAACCAGAAGCCAGGAACGGCGTTTCTGGGGGCAGAGGTGAGGCCCAGCGAGCATCCCCACACACAGGACAGCGGCGAGACCCGGACACGGGGGCTGCGTACCGCGGACGATTCGCACTGGCCTCTCTTGCAGCTGCCGTCACAGGGCTTCTTCTCTCCTTTCTCGAGTGTCTGCAGCCGAGCGAGGAACTTGGTCTTCCAGGCTCTGAAGTCGGCCTCGATGCTGCCGTGTGTGCTGTTTGCCACGTCACAGTCCCCCTCCCCTCTCGCCACCACGCGGTGGGCACCAAGCATCCAGAGCCACTTGTCAACCTTCTTGCCAACCTGCAAGAAGACAGAGGAGCTAAGACGCAGTCCTCGAACTAACAGGCTGGGAGCTGGCCCTGCAAAAGGCCCGAGTTCCTCCGGGAGGCCGTCACCGACCCCATCACCGACCCCGTCACCAGCTGGTGCCGGAAGAGGAACTTGGCCTCAACGGGCCCTCCGGCCCCAGCCACAACCTACAAACACTACAAACACTACACTGGCTACAGAACCCGCAAAAGACTCTTTATAAACAAAGGGACAAACCCCTTTACTAGGGTAAGGGTTGCTGCCTTAAAAGACTGAAAACTACTATTCTAAGTCATGGTCAGAATAAAGTAACTTGTTAGCAGAAAAACTTTGTTCCAAAAGGCAGCAAAGCGCATGTTAATAATAAAGGGCAACGCAGTCCGTCTGGCCAGACTCAGACCTCACCAGCTCCAAACTCGGACACGCTGCAGGTGGCGGCGGCTACCGAGCAGCAAGGTGAGGAGTTCAGAATCCGAACGGGCCCCTGAGGGCCAGGCATTACTCAGAGCATGTGCCTGCCTGAACTAAACCAGTCTGGGGTCTACTTCCTTCGAAAATATGGTCAGAAACACACACCTTGATACAACAACTGAACGAAAACAAGCTTCAGGAAAGATCTCCACCTGCACCTGCACTCACGTTCTATCGAGGACATGTGGGCCAGGCGGGGCCCATGTTGGGAAGAGGTACAAGTACAAAAGTTCTAGTAACTGTTAAGAACCACAAGAAACAGAGATGCTCTGTATTTTTTTTTCTTAATTATTTAAAGTATAGAGAACAGGGCGCCTGGGTGGCTCAGTGGGTTAAAGCCTCTGCCTTCGGCTCAGGTCATGATCTCAGGGTCCTGGGATCGAGCCCCACATCGGGTTCTCTGCTCGGCGGGGAGCCTGCTTCCCCCTCTCTCTCTGCCTGCCTCTCTGCCTCCTTGTGATGTCTCTCTCCCTCTGTCAAATAAATAAACACAATCTTTTTAAAAATAAATGAAGTATAGAGAACAGACTGCAAAAGAAAAGGAGCCAAATTAACTTCATTTAGAAAAAAGATCTAGGAAAACAAAACAATGTTTTATTACTTAAAAGAAAATATATGTCCTTCTTCTACTTCCCTTTAAAAATTAACACTAAAGCGTGGTAAGTCAATCAAAGAAAGACAACTATCATACGATCTCCTTGATATGAGGAAGTGGAGATGCAATGTGGGGCGCTTGGGGGGTAGGAAAAGAATAAATGAAACAAGATGGGGTCGGGAGGGAGACAAACCATAAGAGACTCTTAATCTCACAAAACAAACTGAGGGTTGCTGGGGGAAGAGGGTAGGGAGAGGGTGGTGGGTTATGGACATTGGGAGGGTATGTGCTATGGTGAGTGCTGTGAAGTGTATAAACCTGGGGATTCACAGACCTGTACCCCTGGGGTTAATAATACATTATATGTTAATTAAAAAAAAAAAAGAAAGAAAGAAAGAAAAAAAAATCAGTGACTAAAAGACAATGAGCTCAACTGTAACTGTATATAGGGTTAGCTTGAGCCATAAAGGTTGTTCAACAACAGAACAGGTGGCTGAGAAAGTCCAGAGAATCAGTGATCTTCATCCCCAAGGTCCTGCCTGGGGACAGCACACTGAACACGATGGCCATGAACCCAGGCCACTATGACATCAGACAATAGGAGGTATAAGCATTTTATTCAATAAAAATTTACTTGGGAACCTACTACACCCCATGCGTGGATACATATATGTAGCAATTCCCCCCAAAAAGAGTAACACAAGAAGTTCATTATTAAACACCAAAGTTTGGGGATGACGTCACATACACATGTGAATGTGTGTGCATATGAATTGTTTTTTTAATTACAATAGAGAATTTATCCCCATATTTCAACACATACCTACCTTGTTGAAGTGGCTCGCATAGGAAGAATTTCCCAGGCCAAACACAGCGTACCTCATACCCTTCAGGTAAGTTTTGCCAAATCGAAAATCACTGGCTGCTTCCTCCAACCACTTGCAGAACCACTCTGCACTTTCAGTGGGTCGACCATCAGTGTACGTAGCAACCATGAAGGCACAAACGTTTTTACTAGTAACCTAACAAGAAAGTAATTATTTCAGAAGAATATTTAACATACAACTTATCAGTAAGAAAATCCCTTTTTGAAAAGCTGACAACCATGGGCGCCTGGGTGGCTCAGTCGTTAAGTGTCTGCCTTCGGCTCAGGTCATGATCCCAGGATCCCGGGATCGAGCCCCACGTCAGGCTCCCTGCTCAGCAGGGAACCTGCTTCTCCCTCTCCCACTCCCCCTGCTTGTGTTCCCTCTGTCGCTGTGTCTCTCTGTCAAGTAAACAAATAAAATCTTTTAAAAATAAATAAAATAAAATAAAATAAAAATGCTGACATCCACGTGAATACTAATCTCTAAGGACAAAGGTGCTTTCAAAACATTATTCATTTTCAAAAGTGAAAGAAAACAAAGCAAGGACACCACGCATGGGGAGAAAACCCAGTCTCCTGCTCCTGCCAATATACTCCCCGGGGCCCCTAACTATATACTCCATTCCAATTCCCAAGCAGTAGTTCCTATGGTCTCCAGTTGTCATACAGGAACAAAATCCACATCAGGAAAAAACACAGGAAGAGATCTTTAAAATTACCTAAAAAATTAAAGCAACAAGACTTTTTAAATGTCAAGTAACTTATTCACTCAGTACCGTCATCTACGTGGGGAAACAAAATACGCCTCCGTCCTGCCGGCCACGGTTTCCATCTGTTTGAATGCACCTTAGAAATTCTAAGTCACGAGGTAGGTTATAAGCAATCCATTATTAATAATAAAGTCTGAAAGTCCAGACTAATAATTTTTCACAAGTAATTCTGAGCAGATTCAAGCTCGCTCATTTGCACTCCGCTATTCTCTTACGGGAGAAAGAAATGGCCACAGCTGGCAAACGATGTGCCACTGGCCCAGTCCGGCCCACGGCCTGCTCTGTTTCATAGAGCGTTATCGGGACACAGCCACACTCATCCATTACGTATTGCCCACGGCTGCACAAAAGATGATGTTTACCATCTGGTCCGTTCTAAGAGAAGTTCATCGACCCCTGCTCTACGAGCTTCAGAATCATCTGGAGCACCTGTCAAATTACCGTCCCACATCCAGGGCTGGGCTGCATTTCTAGCAAGTTCCCAGGAGATGCTGATACTGCCCATTCAAGGACCACACCGAGAACCCCTACTATAAGGAAACTCCCCTGAGCACAGCTAAAAGGAAGAGGATTTCTCAGGTGAAGAAATTACACCCACGTAGATGTTAAGTAACGCAGGGACGTCACACAGGTAATAAGAGATTTCTCTGACTTCACAATCCATACTCCTTCTGCTACCCAAGCGGCTCCGACCTCTTAGCTCACACGTGGTTCATAGGCCCAGCACATGCCACCCATCACCTTCGGTCGACTACGAGGTCAGTAGCAGGAGGGAGGAGGGAACGTCAAACCACCACCCTTTCCCACCCTTACTCCCGCCACAGGGAAGATCTCACGCCAGGGGGATGGGTCCCACACCACACACTCAGCACCTCTGACACTGCAAACTCAACCAACTCAAATTCCTTAGCACGAAAATTAAATTTATTCTGAAGATTCTATTTATCCCGCAACGCAGGAGGTCAATCCCACTTGAGAGTCTGGACTGAAGGAAAACATGACCCAGTCACCAACCTCCTCTACTAGATGATCATCTGGGTCATAGTCTTTCAGATCGACGACTGCCACAGGCAGATCTAGGGAGGTAACCGCTTCAGCAAGACTTGCTGCAAATCCCTAGTAGAGAATAAAAAAGAGAAAAAAAATCACATAAAGTCCTCAAGAAGCTAAACAAGCAAAACAGTCTTCACTTACGCCGGCTGCCAAAGGAACAGGCATTTATCGTGAGGAGCCTTTCCACTGACAAACGTTTAGCATCATCAACACAAACACTACTCCCACTTCTTCCACTTCCACAAGTCAGCCGTTCGGCTGTGCGGTTCTCACTCTGTACGGACACGTCCGGCACAAAATCTAAACGGGCTTTTGGCGATCCGGCGCCTTGCGCTGCTAGAATAGACATCGGTGATAAGAAATCCCGGAGAGGGAAGAGAACGTGACGTAGGAGAAACGTGACACGCTTCTGGAAGACAGAAAGCAAACAGAAGCAGGCTGACAGGGAGCAGAAAGCCCGAGGGGAGAGTCCCTATGCCTGACAGAACCCTGGACAGACTCTGGGCTCAGAAACAGCCACGATGGTGGAGCCAGGAGGGAAGCCCGGGGCAGAGAGGAACCGAGCGGCAGTCTGAAGACGGGACAAATGCGCTCCAAGCCCAGGCAGCATCTGCCCTTCACCCCCCGATAAAACACCCGCTAGCTGACCGTCGGCTCCCCACCTCCCAGGACGAAAGCGAGGCCCACCGAGCATCCGTTACTTTAGTGGCATCTACCATGCAGACCGTCCTGGGCGGTATCACCCAACAGTGACAATACGTGCACAGTCCCTGCAGCGGGGAGCTCACGTTCTAGCGGACAGAGACGAGCAGACGTGGAAATGAGAAAGGACACAGTTGGTCAGGTGATGACCAGGGTAAGGGGGGAGAACACAGGGAAGGACAGATATGGGGACAATTGTTATTTTACACAGGGAGGGTCGGGATGGGTGCATGAGATAAAAAATAAATAAATATTCAGTCTTTCTCGCTAGTTCCTGGCACAAAGCTCCTACAACACTTGGCACTTCCTGGCTCTGGTAAGCTAATGAGAGAACTCATGGGGAGGCAGGTCCCAGGTAGCTCCAGGCTGGGAGCCGGTCACCACAAAACCAACTGTGTGATTAAAGGCTTAGAACCTTCACCACCATTGATCCCAGTGAGTTCAATCGTCTATGGCCTAGGATTTGAAATGTCCAGTAAAAGCCCCTCATGGCAGGACTCGGAGTCTGTGGGTGCTGCTGTGCTGAAGCGGTGGTGGGCACAGAGTACGCATGGAAGCTCCAAGCCCGCCTCCCCGCCAAACCTTGCCCTATGCGAGTCTACCATTGTCTGCGTCTGCCTTGTATCCTTCCTAAAACTGGGAAGCATACTTAGTCGAGAAATTTCCCGATTCTGTGAATCCTTCCAGGAAACGATCAAACCTAAGGAGAGGACTGCGGGGTCGACTTCATAGCTGGTCCAGTCACGAGCACCGGTGGCCCCTGGGACTTGGGACTGGCACCTGAAGCGGAGACAGCCATGCAGACTGCGTCCTTACACCCGTGGAGTCTGACAAAAACTCTGCATTGTTCGTGTCACAACTGGACGGCCAGTGTGGAGAAGCGACACGTATGTGGTGCGACAGACTTGAGCCGAGCCTGAAGCATGTGGGAGACAAGCCACGAGGCTGCCCCACGCAGAGCAACGGGTACGTGAACAGGCCCACAGGAGGGAGCGGGCTTGGCAAGGAGGTCAACAGGACTAGAGACGTGAGGACCAAGGACAAGAGGTAAAAGAGACGGTGGAGAATCGGAGGCGAGGGCCTCCGGCCACTGGGAGGGCTCGGATTCACTCTAAGTGAACGAGGAGGTCAGTGCTGGGTTTTAAGCTGAAGGGAACGTGATTTCACGTAAGTTTTCGAAGTCCCCGAGCTGCCGAGCTGAGAGGACACTGAGGCCAGGGGAGGGGCTGAGCAGCATTGAATGAAGGGGACCGGCCAGCAGGGAGGGGACCGCAGTGACCCAGACTAAGGCAGAGGGTGCCGTGAGCCAGAGTGCTGAGACGCAGTCGGCAGCTGGATCCATTCTGAAAGTAGAACAAACAGCATTTGCTACCAAGGGCATGTGGGTAGCAGGAAAAAGAAGAGAATTCAAAGACTTGCTGTTGTTTTAACTAGTCAACTGGAAACAACTGGAAAGATGAAGTTGCTGTTTACTGAAATGGTAAGGGTTCTACGTGGAAAAAAAAAAAAAAAAATGGGAGTTCACTGGGATGCCTGGGCGGCTCAACCGGTTAAGCCTGTGCCTTCGGCTCAAGTCATGATCCCAGGACCCCGGGATGGAGCCCCGAGTCAGGGTCCTTGCTCAGCAGGGAGCCTGCTTCTCCCTCTGCCTGCTGCTGCCCCTGCTTGTGCTCCCTCTCTCCCTCATTCTGACAAATAAATTAAAAAAAAAAAAAAAGGGGGGGGTTCAGTTGAAGCGTACTAATGTCGAGAGGCCTACCGGACGTCACATGGAGACCTACGACAGCCCACTGGACAGGAGAGACGAGCTGAGGGGAACAGTTCAGATTAGAAACGGACACAAACGAAGACGTGCAGGTCAGATCCAGTCCTCCATTTGTGTCCGTGGGTAAAAGCTCCCGGGACCCAGTCGTGCTGTTCAATTTACCCGCGGTCTGTGGTCTCTACAGCGCGGAGCTGAGTAGATGCAACGAGGCATATGGCCACAAAAACTACAAACCTAAAAACATAGCATATAAAATAAAATACCTTGGGCGCCTGGGTGGCTCAGTGGGTTAAGCCGCTGCCTTCGGCTCGGGTCATGATCTCAGGGTCCTGGGATCGAGTCCCGCATCGGGCTCTCTGCTCAGCGGGGAGCCTGCTTCCCTTCCTCTCTCTCTGCCTGCCTCTCTGCCTACTTGTGATCTCTGTCTGTCAAATAAATAAATAAAATCTTTAAAAAAAAAAAATAAATAAAAAAAAAAATAAAATAAAATACCTTGCCCTTTATAGAAAAAGTTTGCCAAATTACATCTAACAAATAAGAATATGAAGCTCTAGATGACAAGATTCCTGAGAGTGAGTGCAAATAAAGACAGGGTCTCAGGGATCGTGCCTTGGGACACTCCTGTCTTTCAAGGTCAAGAAGATGAGGAGAAGGGGCGCCTGGGTGGCTCAGTGGTTAAAGCCTCTGCCTTCGGCTCAGGTCATGATCCCAGGGTCCTGGGATCGAGCCCCGCATCGGGCTCTCTGCTCAGCGGGGAGCCTGCTTCCCTTCCTCTCTCTGCCTGCCTCTCTGCCTACTTGTGATCTGTCAGATAAATTAAAAAAAAAAAAATCTTAAAAAAAAAAAGAAGAAGAAGAAGATGAGAAGTCTGCAAATGGTGAGGAAGACTAGCCTTGGCTGAGAAGGAGAGCACAGCGTCGAGGCAGACAAAGTGAGAATTACTGAGCAACGTGGAAGTCACTGGGAACACGTCAGGATGTGCAAGCCTCACAAGAGCGGCCCAAGGCCAACAGGCGCAGGGAAATTAGAGAGGTGGAGTTAGGGGCGCAGACGCTTTCAAGGAGCTTTATTCTTAAGAAACAAAAACAAAAAAAAACTGACGTGGTAGTAGGACGGAGATGTGGGGCCAATAGGAAACGTGGCTTGCCCCGACCCACGACGCACAGGAAATCTGTAATTAGAAAACACAAATGTGTGCACACAGAACCAGAGAAAATCCACAACAGCTACACCATCGGTCTCTCTTCTATACTAACAGAAAGCCGCGGATCACTAAGAAGAGTTTAAGAACAAGCAGCAGGAAGGAGAAATAGCAGCAACAGAAAAAGTGAGAAAGCAGACAAATCAGGAAACAGAAAAAGCGAATTCATTGAGATACACTCTTTTTTTTTAAGATTTTATTTATTTGAGAGAGAGAAAAAGCGAGCACAAGCAGGGAGAGCCACGAGGCAGAGGGAGAAGCAGACTCCCCGCTGAACAGGGAGCCCAATGCTGGGCTCGATCCCAGGACCCTGGAATCACTACCTGAGCCAAAGACAGATCCTTAACCAACTGAGTCACTCAAGTGCCCCTACGGAGACATATTCTCAAATTACTAATAAAATAATATGAAAACTGAAAAAAAGTGGTGTTTTTGCAACTAAAAACATAATAGCCAAAATTAAACATTCAAAAAAGAAGGTCTGGAATTGAAATCTCACAACCCAGAGAAGAAAGAAAAAGTTACAAAAGAGGAAAGATGTAAAACAAAGGAGCCATCCAAAAGCTCTAACATTCAACCAACAAGAGTCCCAGAAAGAAAAAAAATTAAATAAAATGGAGGGGGAAAAATTTTTCCCAAGAAATCTTAACAGAAATGCTCACAAATCTTCAAAAGAGCCCAAGTGTCCAGCATAATAGCTAAAAAAAAGCCAATTTAGACACCGCCTCAAAAAAGTTCCAAACATAGGGGTACTTGGGTCACTCCGTCAGCTAAGCGTCTGCCTTGGGGCTTGGGTCATGATCCTGGGGTCCTGGGATTGAGCCTCACACTGGGCTCCTTGCTCAGCGGGGAGCCTGCTTCTCCTTTCCCTCTGCTTGTGCGCATGCTTGCTCTCTCTCAAAAAAACAAGTAAAACCTTAAAAAAAAAAAAAAAGTTTGAAACATCAAGGACAAAGAATTGATTCTAAAAGCTTCCAGAAATAAAAGAAGTTAAGTCATTGACAAAGGAATGAGGAGACCAGCTCCGATAGTGAGGTGACACCTTCGAAGTTGTAGGGAAAAGCTGATCTCCCCTACCCAGACGTGAACCCATTCAGTGTGAAAGCAGAGTAAAGAAACTCCAATGGCACAGCTTCAAGGAGGGTCGTCTAACCCATATCAGCAAAGAGGCGGCCCACGATAAAGCCAGTGAGATCTGAGGAATGTCTGTGTTAATTACTATCAGGAATCGGTAACTTTAACATCGATAATCTAGAAACACAGCACACACAGGTTAAAAAAACAGCCGTGAGAGAAACCAAAAATCCGGAACAGCTCAAAGGATTCACTAGAGAGCACTTTCCATTATGAACCCTCCGCACGCCTGGACTTGGGACAACCTGCGAGTGCAGATGTGATCCTCTAGAAAACATTAAAAACACACACGAGAGAGGCTATGAATGAGATCTTCTATAAACAACATAAAAGGACTTCGTTCTGGCTGCCCAGATGCCTTTTTCACCTTTCTGCCGGTTTCCCACCTCTGTTGCTTACAGCTGAACTCGGCATGACGAGACCCTCTACTAAGAAGTGGAATATAGACCCTTCGCTGCACTTCCGCAAAACCAAGAATCTTACTCTGCAAATGTCCACAGGAGGGCAGTGCACCCCTCCTCAGTCCCACACAAAAAGATCTGGACACTGACTTTTCTTAAGCTTCATTTTCACGTCCACCTTAGAATCCTCTGACCCGCTGTGGCCTCCATAACGAGGAAGCCGGCAGCGTATGCGTCTGCAGCACGTATCTACTTTAAACACTATGCAGTATCTGTGGTCAACCACTTAACGCTATTAAACAAAATACACTTTACTAAGTGGACGTGTGAAGTTGTGAAAGTCAGGCCGCACCCGGGACACCACTGCGGACATGGTCTTTCACTGTCCCCTACTTCTACATGCACCATCAGTAACAGGCTTAGACCTCCGCGAGGCAGAGGTGACCTTCAGAACAGAGACCCTTCGTGACAGTGACCAGCTGACACCACCAACCCGCTGGAACTGGGCCCAAGGAATAGAAACCCACCCGGCACCCCAGAAAGGAAAAATGTAAGCTGGAAAAGGAAAAAAAGATGAAAAAAAAAATCAGAAGACCAATTCCGTTCGCTGTTAGTGGACACTTTCAAGGCATCGTGTACAAGATCAGGAAACCCAAGGAAAAGCACCGCATGAGGTTCTCACCTTCGCGGTTCCAGTCTGGGAACCATAGAAAATCTTCACTCCGGACACGGAGACCTCCTTCCTTTGAAGAGAGATAGAGCCTTCTGTCCCCAAATCCCGGCTTGCTTTTGGAGCCGATTTCTCCTGGGAGCTCTTGTCCTTGAAGACAAACAAGTACACAAAGTCCATCAGGTCCGAATCCTCTCCCAACTTCAACAGGGGTGAAAACTAGCAGACACCGACGGACTTTACTCTTCTCCTGATCCCTCTGGTGTCCTCCTCAAATAATGACCTGTGGGCATACAGCTGGGTCCCTGAAAGGCCGGTCCCAGGCTTGCTGAGACGATGAAGACCCCACTCCCTCCAGGAAAAACTGCGCATACACCCCCGCCAGACGGGCTTCAGCGAAGGGACAGCAGGAATTACACACTGATCCTGAGTTAGGGGTGAGGAAGGAGGAGATACCTGCCCTTTGGAGACAGAGAGGAGATTCCTTTTTTACAAGTTTACTTTTCCACTACGGAGTCTTCCTGTAACTGGAGAGCGAGACACCCGCAGCCCCTCAAAACATACGTATTTAACTTAGTCCATAGTAACTTGGACTCTAAAAACGAGAATAAATTCTTTAGGCATAAAAACAAAGTCTAGACACCACACGGAAAGTGCAGGCTCCTCTCAGTTCTTCCGAACCCCGAACCCCGAGAGAACCGGCCCTGATGCCCTGCGCGAATCCGGCCCCTCCGTGCTCCCGGTAAGAAGGAACCGCTTACCCGCCTCCTGACGACGATCTGGAAGCAAATCCACAGGCTGATGCCACAGGCCAAGCCCACGTACACGTAAAACCTGTTTGTCCACAGCGAGACCCAGGGCGACGAGGAGTCCCAGGCGCCCGCGGGATCTGCATCGGAGCGACACGCACGAGTGACCTGACTGGGAGCGCACAACGCGGCTCACCCCAGCCGCAAGGACACAAACGGAACCCGACCTTCGCCTTCACGGACCGGGTCGGACACCGACAGAAGCGGCGCGGCCCGCACCGGGAGCGGCAGGACACCGCACGGACCGCCCGCACCGGGGGGCGACAGGACACCGCACGGACCGCCCGCACCGGGGGCGACAGGACACCGCAAGGACCGC